TTATTCTCTTTATTTCCTCCAACCTGAAGATTACATTTAAACAGAATAATTCGCACATATTTACATTACAAAACAAAAAAACATATTGAATACACATAAGCACCAAATAACATACATGACATATACAGACTTAATTACATTGAAGTCATACATTCATTAAATATCATTAATAAGTGTATATATGATGAGGTAATACATACATATCATATTAAACATTCATATTATTTTATATTTATTTTATTTATATTAATCTTTATCAGTATGTGAGATTATATCTACACACTACCGGTAGTATAACTTTTCGACAGCGGCTACTGATTTCAATCTAAATTCATTCATGGCTAATACATTTAATTCGTAAGTCATTTGTCCCCCAATTAAAATATGAACTAATTCGTGATCTGTCAGAGAGTGTATGTACGCACTCAGCAGAATACCAGTATCACTAATGTTTGCGATAGAGCACCACAACTTGTCCTTTAGGTGTTCAGTATAGCTACAATTTAATATGATATGAGTTAATATATCTTGGTAAATAATACCACATCTATGACATAGCTCTTTGGCTTTACCAGTACGAATATTTACTATTAATTTCGTAACATATAATATGGAATCTTTAAACTCCAGGAATTTCATTGCCAGTTTCCATAGTATATGTGGTTGCAATATATTATGAACCATTACAAATCTGTTAAAATCACTATCATTTGACATTCGTTCTTTCCAATCATGTTCCTCTTTCAACAACACAGATTTATTCACAATTATTTTCCGTTGCCGTTTTAACGGGAATACACTCGTTCGAATATACTTGTTCAACATATTATAAAGATTGTACTTTTTAAAAATTCTCAAAATATCATTTAAATGTCCAAAATGGTCACCAGATCTGTTCAGCATTGATGCGTATAGTCTTCTTAAAAATATACGTGATGACAATGTATTTTTATCTAAATAACACAACCTCCCAAAAAACAACAATTTTCTTATATCTATATAGCTTTCTATGGATGTCCATCCAATCATTCCGTAGCACATATCAGTACGTGTTCTGTTGCTAAAACCTTGAATTGATTTTAAAATAAATCTTTGCGCTCTTTCCAACAAAAGTAACTCTTTCTTTGACAAAATCCATAGTTCACAACCATATAGTGCTGACGTATTTACAACTTGTTTGATAAGTTTTCCGGCAGTAACTGGATTTAACGCACAAGGATGTGCACCACTCTTAATTAAACTCATCGTACCACTTTTTAATTTGCTACAAGCACGCATTGTACGTTCATATGTTCATAACTAAAATATGTCAGCACATTCGGTTTGTAAACAACTATCATTATAGAAAAAAACGTCTTAATGAAATGGAATTTTATTTCCTCCCGAAACAATTCATTGGTCTATGTTTTTTTCTTATCGTTGGGTACTTAAAAGTTCAAACACATTTGCTCTACAGTCAATCGTTTATAACGGATTAAAAATAAGTTATTTTTGGATGACAAGCAAAGATTTTATTATCAAAATTCGAATGAGAATGCGTACAAGAAGTTTGTCCTTTTTATCCATAAAAACTATATTACACTTTGTATTGTAAAACGAACAACTGTTACACGCTTTTAACGCTCTAATGGGAGCTGTATGGTAAATGGTTCGTCTAAAACAACAAACGTTACTGTAGGGTATATCCTATTTTATATTCTGTTTTATATACTCTTAACATCAGTATAGGTGTCGACAACAAAATAGGTAATGGAATTATATATGTATAAATAAATAAATCGCGTGTCACTAAATCAGCAAATGAAAGATGCCGGTGGCGCGTGACGTTTAGACCACACAAATCACGTTTTAGATCATAGCATATGGTTATACGTGGGGTGAGGTATGTGTTATACCGTTAGACGATATTAAAGAACGATTCCTTAAAAACAAGGAATTTCTAAAGTCCATGCTTAAGATAACACTATCAGACAATTCGGGATCGAATGTGAAATAGGATTGTGAGGATTAGAAACGGTGAAGACTAGTTCTAAACCGAAAATACTGATAGCCGAAATATTTCTTTTGTGTTAAAAGCAGCTATGTTTTCTGTCTATTCCGGTACCGATAGCGCGTATTGATTTTCGATCTTTTCTTTTACCTTAAATCACATTTTTTCTACTCCTTACACATGTGCTAGCCTTATTACCGGTATTCTTTCCAACACGGCTGTCAGCACTGTTCGTACGAAACTAATTTAATGGTTTTGTTCTGTCACGTGTGACTGTAAATAACACGTTTGGTGTTACCTTGAGCTTGACCTTTGTGATGACGTACGGATACGTCATGTTAGACGACGGTTATAGTAAAAGCAGTCGTAACGTCTGACAAACGGAGTTAAACGTACCTCACTAAAGCTGACGTCACTGATATGCAAAAATGTACCAACTTGTTTTACCTGAGTCAGTGATAGAAGGGACGGTTGGTTCGTTGGATTTCTCAACATCTTAAATATGTTCTAAAAACTTGATTTTACGTGTATTGTCATTTTCATATTTTGATTCTTAATCATTGAGTTGACAATGTTGCTGTTATATATATTACACAGTATATCAGTGTGTTGACGTGTGCGCGTTTTCACGCAGATTAATTTACAAACCTTAATGGTGAATACAACTTGACAAAGTTATGTAAAGTCGTCTCATATACACTTTGACGTGTTTATTGTTAGTGGTTGACATATGACTGTCTCCTGACGATTGAATGCGCGGGTTTAAACAAACACGTGACAAATCGTGAGGTTCCATCTTTGGAAAGATTGTCAAATTCAATTTCTGTGCTCTAAAAAAGGCTTTCTACATTTAATTGGTCCTTACCATCAGATATTGAGGCTTGAACCAGGCGAAGAGCGTTCCCTCCAGGATTTTTCGTATGTGCCAAGTATAAAATAGTACATCGTTGACAATAATGTAAACATAACGCCAGTTATTGCGTCAGTTGAGATTTTATCCTTTTTCGTATCCTACCTTTACTAGTATTTCTACTATTTATCTTTTAACGTCGTTACTCCTCCCTTGGCACCACTTCACGTTTGGTTATACATGTACTACAGAACGGTCGCCCATGTGATGAAGACAAAGGCTTCTGTCCGCAGTCCTGGACAGACCAAAGGCCTTAAAAACGATATTCGCTGTCCCTTGCGAATTGTTTAGCATTTCTACAGTATGCCCGGTTGGAGTACTGTGATGTGTGCCTTCGGCATGGTATTTTAGTGAAAAAGCACTATAAATTCGGCATCAGATCTTCGCTATCACAAGGAGGCAAATACACAAACAAATCGACTACAGCACACACGCATACTTTTACATACATGCAATGGAGGAACCTTACTATAAGATATGTTATATTATACAAGCGGTTCGTTAGGTATTGATGATGTTTTTTTTTTTTTTTTGTTTTTTTTTACTTTTTTTTACCTAAAACTTAGGTTCAGTTTGATGCATTTTCTCGTGTGTGATTCTTTCTTCCTACAGCGTTGTTTGATCCTATATGACCTACATTGTCCATGGGCCGTTTAACAAAACACGAACAAACCAATCACTGTCTAACGCGCTCAAATAATCATGTGATCGTTTTAACAGATCCCTGGAGAACTCCAGAGGATCATCCAATCCTAAAGATCAAGATATTTCGTCACTCAAAACAATGATTCGTGTTTTACAAGTGTCATGAAGTCCTTCAATAAAAAGTGATATGCTCAATTTAAACTTGTTTTTAAATCGCACATAAAACCCCGTCTGTAAGCCTTAATGTCAATTTAGAGGGTTTCGATGGTCTTATCTACAGAGTTATCAAAGCTCACTCGTGTTAGTCTTAAAATGGTGTGTGCTCTAAAGACAAACAATTTGCAGACTGAGCAAGGCCGACAAGAAAGACCATCGAAAGTGTGGCACGTACTAGATATAGAAACAGTGACATAATGGATACATGCGATTTTATGCAGGTATTTACTCTTTCAAAAGTGCTACACGGTAGTGCACCATTTCCTAGTCACTGGGCATTCAGATAGTATATAACGTGACGCCGGAAACGCTCTAAATGCGTCACAAACACCGAAGAGTTCAATAGATCTGGGGCTACTTGTCATCTCTAACACCGGCGTGTTTACAGTCGTTGCGTAAGCACGCTATGGCTTATTTACTTCTCTACAGAAACGTTCCATGACTGTACTTAACATTCATACATGATTAATTCTATGTACCGTCTATATAAAAGACAAAAAGTATGGAAAAGCTAGTGAAAAGACATAAAGAGGGACCTGACCACCATTGATATCAAAGATACATGCACTTTGTTTAACGTCCAAACATGTAGAAAAGGTAACTGTAACAATTACTGTAATAGTATAGAAAACATCTACAGATTTATAGAACTAATCTTATTATAAAACGAAAGCCTTTTTTTATAATATTGGACTAATATATAAAATGTAACAGATCCGTTTCTTTGAAGAACTCAGTCCGTAGGTCACAGTCCCTGTCTAATGTCCGTAGAGTCATATGCCAAACACTGCATTCGGGAAAACAGGGAACAGGTGTGCAAATATTTCGTCAGATTAACGGAACGTACGTAATATGAATTTCAATTTTAAATATTTCCACAACAAGTAAAATTCATAATGAAATCAAATGTTTGGATCGACTAAACTCCAGTTATGTGAAAGAAATTGTCAAGTTTAGATGATTATAAAATATAGTTTAAAATTGAGTTAAACTCTCAGATACCTTGTAACATGTAGAGTTGTCCCAGATGATTTATTGCAATTCGGTTGAATAAGACATCTCGTATGACACACTACAGGTGCTACAGGTGAATAAGTCCCTTTCTTCATATTAATCATGGCAATTAAAGTATAGTCGCACGTGTGCATTGTACACTAATACAAACACGTTTTTGTTAATTTTGTAGATATTATGTATGTAGATTTTATCCTGTTCAAAAAAAAAAGTATTGAGACTTACCAGATCGCCTGTGAGCTGTACGTGTCTGCTAGCACACAACACGACCTTGACACATTGTCTCAGGTATTCGACATAAGCTCCCTATCTCCTTACACACTTTTACCTAGGGCCATTCATTTGCATACTCGTAGTAAATTTATTATCTGATAATATTGCAAATCTATTACGTTCATTTTCCATGCATCTTAATGGAAATACGCTATACTGTAGTTCTTATATTCGTTTCTGTGTAGTTCAAAAAGTAAGAAGTCCAAAATACAGTATACATACAGTATAACTTTGTTTTAATCAGATAAATAAGTTTACTTTAGTTCAGAAAGTAACAACCCCCCCCAAACAAAATGAAAAGTTCGTTGATTGACTATCTTTTTTTGAAGACTGACGATGATGTCCATTTTACCTACTACTTATAACTGGATTAATAATTATTTTAATCTTTCTCTGTGTCATTAATACATAATTCTGCTAGGTGATATAGCCGATATCTAGTATTTAGGAAAACACTATTTGATTCCGACAAGAACGAAACCATTGCCTAACACACATAGCAAGAGAAGTTATGCTTACATAATTATAGTAAATTTCTGTAAATATCTGTGTATACCTTAATTCAATACAGTATTTGATTATACATGGGTTGTTAATATCAAAAACACACATCTTCTTTTCATAATAGACTAGAATGGAGTATTGAAAACCCAACTCTAACATAGCTTAATAATGGCAATCATTAGTCCCATATATATCCCCCTATATCACTGTCAAGGACCACATGTGTTTGTAATTTATGGCAGTCAATTTGATGTTAAAAGAACGTCTGCCATACAGCATATCGTTTATCTTGACTAAGACACGCATGTCTTATTCCCATTAAGGTATACACTGACAGTGACGGTAAAAAATTATCTGCTTTGATGTTTTATAAACATGTCGGATCCGCAGCATTGCACCACACTATATATCTCACTAGAGCCCCCACTAAACCTCTCACTAGACCTAGCACTAGACCTCTCACTAGATATCTCAAAAGACCTCTCAATAGACCTCTCACAAGAGCCCCCACTAAACCTCTCACTAGACCTAGCACTAGACCTCTCACTAGATATCTCACTAGATATCTCACTAGAGCCCCAACAAGACCTCTCACTAGACCTAGCACTAGACCTCTCATTAGATATCTCACTAGACCTCTCATTAGAAATCTCACTAGAGCCCCACTAAACCTCTCACTAGACCTAGCACTAGATATCTCACTAGATATATCACTAGACCTCTCACTAGATATCTCACTAGAGCCCCACTAGACCTCTCACTAGTCCTCTCACTAGAGCCCCACTAAACCTCTCACTAGACCTAGCCCTAGACCTCTCACTAGATATCTCACTAGACCTCTCTCTAGACCTCTCACTAGACCTCTCACTAGATATCTCACTAGACCTCTCACTAGAAACCCCACTAGACCTCTCACTAGACCTCTCACTAGTCCTCTCACTGGAGACCCCACTAGACCTCTCACTAGACCTCTCACTAGACCTCTCACTAGACCTCTCACTAGATATCTCACTAAACCTCTCACTAGACCTCTCACTAGACCTCTCACTAAACCTCTCACTAGATATCTCACTAGATATCTCATTAGACCTCTCACTAGATATCTCACTAGACCTCTCACTAGACCTCTCACTGGAGCCCCCACTAGACCTCTCACTAGACCTCTCACTAAACCTCTCACTAGATATCTCACTAGATATCTCACTAGATATCTCATTAGACCTCTCACTAGACCTTCACTAGACCTCTCACTAGCCCTCTCACTAGATATCTCACTAGCCCTCTCACTAGACCTTCACTAGACCTAGCACTAGGCCTCTCTCAAGATATCTCACTAGACCTCTCAATAGATATCTCACTAGATATCTCACTAGATATATCACTAGACCTCTCACTAGATATCTCACTAGACCTCTCACTAGTCCTTCACTAGACCTAGCACTAAACCTCTCACAAGATATCTCACTAGACCTCTCAATAGATATCTCACTAGATATCTCACTAGATATATCACTAGATATCTCATTCGACCTCTCACTAGATATCTCACTAGACCTCTCACTAGACCTTCACTAGACCTCTCACTAGACCTCTCACTAGATATCTCACTAGATATCTCACTAGATATCTCATTCGACCTCTCACTATATATCTCACTAGACCTCTCACTAGACCTTCACTTGATATCTCATTAGACCTCTCACTAGATATCTCACTAGACCTCTCACTAGACCTCTCACTAGATATCTCACTAGACCTATCACTAGACCTTCACTAGATATCTCATTAGACCTCTCACTAGATATCTCACTAGACCTTCACTAGATATCTCACTAGACCTCTCACTAGAGCCCCCATCGGACAAAGGTCTCATTAGTCGCTTGTAATAACCCTATCTAGAGAAGTTTCTCCCTCTCCACCTATAGTATTCTTCTCTAGACACTTTTAATTACATTAGAACATGTTTTAAATGTTTGCATTGAAACAAATTTTAGATGATTTCGTAATAATTTGAATCCCAGTAAATATTGGTTTTAAATGATGAATTAACACATCGGGATTTTTTGTTTTGTTTTTTGTATTTTTTGTAAAAAAAATCATCAATACAATGTACAATATACAAGTACAAACAATATCTCCTTATTACATACTTACTTACACACACTTTCATCCTTGACATGCTTACATACATTTAAGTATTGTACATGTATCTTTTATGAAAGAACAGAAAGAGAGCAGACAGAAAGGAAAGGAGAACAGAAATATAGAAAAGAGGAAGAGAAAGAGAAGAAAGAGTTTTGAGAAAAAAAGCGAATTATATGCACATGTGTTTTTCTTTGCACTGCAGTAACTTAATGAAATATGCAAAAATAATACTGAAACATTCTAGTGTGTAACTGTTAAGATAATTTCGGCTTAACACTGTCAGATAATACATCAAAATAGACACCCGGTATATTTAATAAAATGTAAGGAGATTTCATAACTCAAGAAGGCTATTCCATTTTTCCTATTCATTTTGAAGTTTCTGAACAGAAGAATCACCTTTACCATAGGCAACATATTTGTGTACTGAATAGTGATCCTTTATAGTATTTAGTAGTGCATCTACTGAAAGTGTATTTTTAAGACATCTTGTTTTGTAAATATAATGTTTAATCAGAAGTATAATTGGCCATTCATGATTGTGTTATTAAACCAAAATTGAAGGATTCTTTATGAACAGAAAAGAATTATCAATGCCTCTAATAATATTTCTTAAGTTGCAAAAAACACATAAGGGGCTGTCAGTGAGACAAGCCTTATATAAGTAAAAATTTGTAGTTAAAATATAATGTATGATTCTAACTTGGAACTACTAAGTTTTGTACTGGAAGCTACACAAAAAGGAATCTGAAATATTTTCTTCCATTTTTCATCATTGATATCAAATAATTCTCCCCATTTTCTTCTACCAGTTGGAAAAATCTCATTTTTTGTAAGAATTGTATAAAAATCTTTTGTCCCCTTTTTATGTCTGTAAAAAATCTCTAGATTTAAAGGTAAAATAGGTTAAAACATGTCCATGTTCGTATTGTGATTAATATTCTTTTGTGTAATGTATTTTCTTATTGCTGATAAAACACCATGTACTGTAAGAAGTCTGTGTCTATATTCTATTTATCATTAAATTCATTCTGAGTATGAAATGTTTGTGTACCTCCATCTTTCACTAGATCATGAACTAGAGTAATTCCACGATTGTACCAATCCTGATACAATATGTGTGTTTGACCTATGGTCAGATTTGAGTTATATCATAATGGTGATTTTAAAAAAGATTGTCCCCTATCCCATCTTAGTCCCTCTTTAATATTCAATCTAGTCCAGGCCTTAACAACATCTTTCCAATACATTTTTTACTTTTATTTTGACAGATAGATATATATTTATTACCACAGTTGAAGAGATGATCAATATTTATATATGTTTTAAGTGTTTCCTGCCATTACTCTAGTTTTTGTAGAAATCTCCTTATCCAGCTAAGTTTAAGTGAATCTATAAATGACAACAGATGTACCACCTTAAGACCTCCACCATGTAACTTTTTACAACAACATCTCACTTTATTTTGTCAATCTTACTCTTCCAAAGAAATTCATAAAGGGTACTATTAAGTTTACTAAGAAATTTTTCACTTGGATTTGGCAAAGAAATAAACAGATGATTTAACTGAGATATAAATAGTGACTTTATTATGTGTATTCTACCAATAGATGTAAGTATTCTTCTTTTCCAAGAATTAAGAATAGACTTGAGCTTAACTAGCCTTTTATCAAAATTTAACTTTGGGGTTGATGTAGATCCACATGAAATTCTATTCTAAGAAGCATAAAACGTTCCTCCCCATAATGGAGACCTATTTCTGGTAATAAAATATCATAACTATACTTCTTGCTGCCTATCCATATTATTTGTGTTTTGTGTAGATTAATTTTTAGCCCAGATATTCCAGCAAAAGCGTTCAATTCTTTTATTGCTTCTTTAAGAGACTCCTCTTTGCCATCTAGTATAGGAGAACTATCATCAGCATACTGTGAAACTATAATTGGGCAATCATTAACATTTATACCATTAATATTCCTATTATTTCTAATACGAACAGCTAGTATTTCAGCACAAAGAATAAATATATATGGGGCGATCGGATCACCTTGGCGACAGCCTCTTTTGATATCACAGAACGAAGAAAGACCCCC